GTTGGAGATGTACTCTTTGTACGCTGCTCGGTCCTGGGGAGACAGGCTCTGTGGAGACACCAGGCGGCGTTGGGGCGCCCCAGTGCACCACCCGTCTCCCCTCTGCCCCCTCTACTCCTGGGGTCTGGAGAAGCCTCCTCCAAGCCTCCTGACCAGGACTGCTGCTCGGCCACCAAGGCCACGCGAGGAGACTCAGCATCCGACACCATGAACCCCAGGGCGCCCTGGACCCGCGGCCCATGTGCGGGAAGCGGGGGCACAGGTGAGATTTGAGGAAACCCCTGGAGCTCAGTGGATTACTGATTCCAGATGCAGGAACACAGGTATTCTGACTCAGGTTTCTCTACGTCATGTGCTTTCTTCTTTATTTACCTTTTGAGGTACTTGGTCTCTTGCTGAGTCACTAAGTTGCCTAGGCTGGGCTTGAACACAGCGTCCTGCCTCAGCCTCCCAGAGGACTGGGATGACAGGCGGGCACCACTGTGCACTGCCCTCCCCTCACGGGAGCTGCACCTCCCCACGCTCGCTTTCATCTTTAAAGATCCCAGCGCCCACTCCACAGGAGCCGGCCCACCGTGCCGGGACTCCGCGCCGTGCCTGTGCTCACCTTGACCCACAGGTCCAGGTGCACCTTGTACTGCTTCTGCTGCTCCTCGGCCAGCTTCTTGTAGTGCTCCTTCTGGCTCTGGGAGATGCGCTGCCAGCGGCTGCCGATCTCCACCATGCGCTCCTTCAGTGGCAGGTGGTTCAGCTCCCCGTTGGACAGCAGCTCCTGGGAGAACTTCTGGTAACCGTTCCTGGGGGTGGTGACGGCGCGGGGTCAGGACCCAGCCGAGGCCCGCCCTCCCCTCGCACACCCCCGGCTGCTCACATTGGGGGCTTCTTGGGCTCTCCCTGGAACTTCATCTTCTTGGAGGAGTTGGCAGCGGCAGGGGGCGCCCGCATCTCACTCAGCTCTCTCTGCAGGGAGAGTGGAAAGGTCACGCCGTCCCTCCCTGCCACCCCCTGCTTTAGCCGGCCAGAAAGAACCAGGGAAGCACGCCCGATCACCCAGTGGCCAGAAAGGGCAGTGCCAGCTGCGTCCAGACCGAGCTTGCCCCCAGCTGTCACCCCGCTTCATGGCGACACCACCTCAGTGAGAGCCGTGCTTCGAGCCTCATTTCGTGGGGTCCCCCGGTCCCTCACCTCATAGCGCTTCTGGTCTTCGGCCGCCTTCTTGATCCACATCAGCTTCTCCTTCTTCTCCATGTTGTTCCAGGTCATCTCCATGGCCTTCAGGGCCTTCACACGGTCGTTCTGGGGACAGACGGCGGCGTCACGGAGGGTCCAGCAGGGCTGAGGCCCCGAGGGCCGCATCCCTACCTCACCGTCCCCACCTTGAAGCGCGCCAGGTAGTCGCCGATGACGCTCTGCTGCCAGATCTCCTCCGCCCGCTTGGGCGACTCGGGCAGCTTGCCGCGGTCCTCCCGCTCGGTGCCCGGCTTCC